CAAGCAGAGTGTACAGAGAATTTTAAGCTCATAAGATTTCTGGCAGGATCATTAGTTCATTGTTAGGTTTACAGTCACCTTTGGTGAAGTTATCCTTTAATAAATGCCACCTACTCCCCTGAGTGCAGAGAGCCTGGTCTAATACTTCCCATCCTCCCTATTTTAGTGAGTTTTCCTCCCTCATGGTCCCAGCCAGCTCCCCTTCATATCATAGTTGACCTTTTTAAGAGCATAGTCCAGCTTTGTGACCGTGTTTGATGTCAGTCCATAAATCCAAGCAATCCATAAGGTAGTCAGACCCAGCCATAGAAGGATGCTATGGTGAAGTGATGGATTGCACCGCCACAACATAAGTCCCAATCCAACTTATTACCAGCACACCTTGTTCAGATGAGAACACAGGACACTATTGTCACCAACAAGAAGCAACTTTTCAAGGCCACTAGGGACGGGTGGGAATCGGGTTTGATGTCATACACATATAGGGTGTAACATGAAACATGGTGAAATTCTTCATAAAAAAAGTCACATATAATTCATAAAATGTATTGTTCACTTTCTGTATGCCAAGCTATGAGTTCATGTGATCTGATGATTATTGTTAATATTTAAAGGATATCTAGACCCAGGAACAGAAATGTAATATATTACAGCTCAGAAGTCTTTCAGTGTGGTGGCTTCCATAGTTTTTTTTGTTTGTTTGGGTAATACAGTTTGAAAGAGCAGGAAATACTTCCAAAGAAACAACGTCCTTGTAACGTCTTGTCGACTGCACTAAAATTTTAAACAATGTTATCAGCTTTCTTCGCTATCTTCTGTGAACTACAGAACAAGCCCCTTCTATGTAATGGCAACGAGGAAAAGGGGAGGTGTTTGTGGTTCAAATCAGGAGAGCAGCCTACTGTCACAACGTTGCTCCTCCATAGATACAGTGTGGTAAGTGAGCGTTGTCACCCTAGAATAAGAAATGTTATTGGCATGAGGTGCAAATAAAGGCAACAAAAAAACAATGAATGCAGCCACCACATCTAAGGACCTGTAAGATGCAATGTATTCATTTTTGGTTTTGGGCTTAGATGAGATTTAATATTTGTAAGAGAAATGTTTCAATAGAAGATGTCAGGCTTGTTCAGCTGGCATGGCAAAAGAACAGTGAGGAGCGGAAGAGTGTAGCAACCACTTAATAGTCAAATCAGTGAAAGCGTTTTCTAATTTCCTACAGATATAAGGGAGGAACAAAGCGCACCGACATAGTCTAGTAGATAAGTTTAATGAAAGGAAACTAAAATCAAAACACTCACAGGATAGTATCTTGGCACTGCACGCATGTAGGCAGCTGCAGTACAACAGCAAGATATCCCAGCTAATGTGATATGTAACATTTATAGATGATGAGAAATCAGAGTATTGTCCTTTTGTATGGTCATATTGATCTGAATCGACCTGGTCCATATAATCAGAGCACAGAGGTGCCGAGCTACCACAGGCATCCAGCACCAGTGAAAGTAGAGGGAGGCATGTGTGTGGAGCCATGTCAGAGATTCCACGTACCCCTGACCTGAGCCTAAATGTAGAAATGTCACCAGCACACCAAATCCTTTTAGGATAGCAGAATGTTCATTTATTTGAAGTTCCTTGTCATATAAACAAGCGCTTTTGGGGCTGTGCTTAGCCTTATGAAGCCTTATATCACTTGTTTGCCTGATGAAGGGGATCCTGTGAGATCCCAAAAACGTTGTTCTTGTGTTTTGCATTTGCAACAAGTACGTGAATAAATAGACGTACTGGATTTGCTTTGGGGGGCCGGTGTCCATCCTCTACTTATACTTTGACGGAAGCCACCCGTTGACACCTGCTGCACCCACTTCTTATCTCATGGAGTAGCGGTTCTGAGTGCGATGGGTACACGGACTGTAGCTTTATGAAGGGACCCTGCGCAGCCCCGAAAGCGCTTGTTTATATGACAAGGAACTTCAAATAAATGAACACTCTGCTATCCTAAAAGGATTTGGTGTGCTGGTGACATTTGTACATTTTGCCGTGTCATCCGCAGTCACTGCAAGCAAGCGACCCCCCCCTCTCCCCCCCATTACAAGGGACTTTCGGTAAGGAGTGTAGCAAGGCAAAGAAAACTATGTATTGCCTGACCTGAGCCTTTCCCCGCTCATCTGCTGCTATTGAGAACAGGTTTAGTGGTACTAAGGGGAACTTTTCTACTGCCCACATGCGTGCTGTGCATAGACACTATCATGTGAGTGTTTTGATTTGAGTTTCCTTTCAGTGAATTGTCTACTACACTATGTCGGTGTGCTCTGTTCCTCTCTTAGGTCTGGTTCACACCTGTACGTTTTGTAGCGCGTTCAATGCTCTACGAACGCTCTACAAAACGCTCAAACATGAAAATCCCATTGTTTTCTATGAGTATGGTTCACACCTTGTCATATTTCAGCCCGTCTGAACGCGCTACAAAACGGCCTACGCCTGAAAAGGTACATGAGCTTCTTTGCGGCGTTTTTGTCGCACGTTTCCATTGGGATACAGCCAAGTATCCCTCAGTAAACGCGCGTTTGTCGCACGTTTTTTTACCGCAAATCGCAGTGACAAACGCGCATATTCAATACACCTAGGTGTGAACAGAGCCTTATGGTTTTCAGTTCCCATGAGCACTCCACCCGGACTACTCCAAGAGCTGCAAGGATGTGTCAGAAATCTTTGCTGAATGAAATGGAGATACTATTCATACCATCTGATATTTATTTGGATATTTAGTACATTGGCTTTATACTGGACTTCTGGCAGAGATTCATTTTCAAAGGATATTTTGAGCTGATGCTGACACATTGTTTTGAGCATGGTAGCAAGTAAGCACAGGAACAGATGTGTATTTGCTTTTGTTTTAACTTTGTTTTCTAATTTATTTTCCTTACTATAGGTTATCACATTTTGCTTTTTGTCCCAGAGCCCATTCACACCAGGGCGGTTGCGGATCAGCGCAGTTATTGCGCTGATCTCGCAAGGGAGGTTTTAGGAGCTTTTAATTGCGTTTCAGCGCTGAAAACCGCAAAATTAGCGCGGTTCCATTGAAACCTGTATGCAAACTGCACTGATCAGCGTGGCAACAATAGTGCCGGGAGCAATTCGGGCGGGGGGCGGTTCGAACGTGCGGTCACATGAACAGTCCTCATAGCAATGTATAGGATCGTTCATGTTGGCGGATCCGTGCGGCCGAATCCCGGTGTATTAAAACTGAGCTGCGGGTAAACCGCTAAAACACAACTGAAATACATGTAAGTGCCAAAGTATTTGTATATCCATCTAGTCCAGAGATTTACAAACTCTGCCACACAGCCCTGTCCGAATATGTCTTGTAGAATTGTTCTCTGCTACAGTTAAGTAACACTTACAGGCCCTCTCCCAGCTTGTGACTGAAAAGGGAGCAACAACAGAATGATGAGTGCTATGCACTGTCACTCAGCCCTCTCCTCCCATCAGCATGCACCTTATCAGCACATAAACATTGCAACACAACTGACTGTGTTGCTTCTCAGTTTTTCAGTCTGAGCTCTGCTGTACATGTACTCCAGGGGGCTGAAACCGAGTCAAATTCAGGTACTAGGGATGTTTGGATTAAAAAACAAACAAACAAATGTAACGCATTAATAAATGCAGATCTGCATTGACGTGCCTCTTTGTTTATCAACCTGGAATTCAGCTTTAAGTAAGTCCCTGGGTCTGTCTTCCTGTTCACCATGTTTGTTATTTGTACACACCCTGATCTCCAAGCCGTCATGAAGTGGCTGTCTCTAAGGACATGCCAACTGTTGGAGCGATTCAAAGATTCCAATCTCATTGGTGTGGTTTAGATTCCACTACCATTGTATGCCCTTCCATTATGTCATGCCATGCTTGTATGCCCTTATTAACACAATATTTATTGTGTTAAGGACCCCAGCATCCTGTTTTGCGGAGCTTCAGGCCAGCTCTAGACATTCCTTGATATCAACAATTACAGTCCCCTCTCTGTTTATAGAAACTCAATGGCACTCATTTCCTGTCTGATATGATAAAATAATGGGGGAAAACACTGACTTGTAGTATAGAATACATTGAACTTTAACTACAGAAATAATGATAAATGGAAAACTAACACATGTTTGAGGAAAGTGACACAGAAACAACTATTCTTATAACATTTACAATGTTACAATTGATGGAGGTGGCAGAGGCTAATGCACACTCATTTTCCTACAAGAGGACCCTTCCCTTATTAAGCAGAACAATTGCAACACCAGTTTAGCAGAGAATGTGAACTACATTTAATATTTGGGGTTTTATGGACATATTACTGCTTAAATGTGTGTACATACTGGGGGGAATTTATCAAAACTGTAGCAGACAGAATCAGGAGCAGTTGTCCAGGGCAACCAATCAGCTCCTCTCTTCAGTTTGTTCAGTTAAGATTTGGAAATGAAAGAAAGAAGCTGATTGGTTGCAGTGCAAATCTGCTCCAGTTTTGATAAATTTCCCTCACTGTGTGTATTTATGTACACTCTAGCCTCATTAATGCACCAATCTAACCTACTCCCTAATGATAATAGTCTGGTGATCCTGGAACACACCTGCTGGTGATAAAATATACTCCTTTTTTAATATCCTCCTGATGCCAGTGTTTTGTTCCCACAGTCATATGAGTGGTCATGAAAATGGAGAGAGAAGATTTAGGCAGCACAGGCTTAGATAGTCATTTTTGTTGCTCTTCCGCTGAACCTGGGATGGGCTTTTTGTGATGTGACTAGCAGGAATTATAGGGAACTCAGGTCAAGGTAAATTGAATGAGATTTCTGATTTTAATTAAGTTGCAGTGTGCTGGAATGCATTAGGAGGCCTCTGATTGGTCTCCCTTGTTGCCCACTATTACTATTTTAAGGAGAGTAATATCCATGCTTCTTTGGCAGCTTGTTTTCGTAACTTGTTTTCTTGTATTTTACTTTTTCCACCAGGTATACAGAGTAGTCAGTATTTGTGTGGGGAGCCCTCCAGAAACCTTTACCTGGGAGTTCAGAGACAAAGAGAAGACATATCACAAGATTGGGCCTGTGACACCCCAGGATTTTTACACAGAGCATGTTAAACCAATTTACAATGTGGAAGACAAGGTGAGCTTTTCATGATTTTATGAGCACAAGCACATATAATTCACATTGTATACTTGTAAAAACATTTAAAGATTTATAAAATACTGGTTTAAGGCTAGTGCATGCTTCTTGTCCATCGAGGGACACATGAAGTCTTGAACCTTCAAGTTATACTGTCGTCTACAGGATGATTGGACACTGGCAAACAAAAAGACCATAGGCCAGGTCAGGATAACCCTTCTTGCTACCAGCATGTCTCACTTTTTTTGTTCCCTTAGATAATGAATGTCTTTTTTTTCCATTGTGCTAAAGACTAACCTAGTTTTTAATAGCCCTTATTTTCTTCTTTGGATTTTTTCCTAAATAAAAACTCTTCTTTAAATCGCTGCTGGAGCTTTGTCCTTTCGATTGCAGCAATGCAGTGCGGTTGTCCTTGGCCTGGTTTTTGGAATACTTCAAATGGGCCCCCCTTGACTGGAGCTTCTGGATAGCCTGCAAGTGACCTTCTCCATGGGTTGCTTTCCAGACTCTGTTTTGGTAAAAGTTGGCTGCGGAGTGCTTTCTAGTTCCAGAGCCGTTGGTATTACTTTGGTGCTTGCCCTATCAACAGTTGTCCATGGACAGCCTGAATTGTTTGTCAATGAGGACCAGGTTGTCCCTGGCTTTGTTGCTCAGGAACCTGGCTCAGAGGTCCTTCCTTCCTGTCTTCTGAAGGATCCTCACAACAAATATCAAACTGGGGAAGTCCTTGCCATCCTGTAGGTGCAGGGGACTTGGTCTTTGGGGGAATCTAGTCTCCTGATCAACATCCGGAAACTTCTGACAATTTGACGGTCTCTGCAGCATTGGATCATCCTACTGGAGGGTCATCCAATCCTTGGTGATGTACATCAATCATCAAGGAGGAACAAGAAGCCTCGCTGCGGCAAGAGGTAGATTGGATCTTTTCCTAGGCAGAACATCACATTCCACTTCAATTCCTTTTCTCTGCCGGGTATATTCCAAGCGTAGACATGGGGCTCGTCTCCCGGGTAGTTGACGAGCCCCATAGAAGTCAGTGGGGATTTACTGCACATGCGTGACCAGGAAAAGGAGGTGTCTGCCTCAGGATGTCGAGAAACAAGCGAGGCCAGGCACATCGGAACTTGGTAAGTATTTAACTCTGCTTTGGTAGGGAGGGAGCGGTGATGCCAGCTTAAAGGGGCCTAATGGGTAAATGCATTTTGTTTTCAAGCTGAAAAGGTCTAAACCATGATATGATATGAGCTGGTCATAGTTAGTGATTTTATCAGCTTACCATTTAAAAATGAGATCCTCCTTTTTCACTGCACTGAAGTGTTTTATATGGGGGTGATTTTGTTTTGGTCCAAAAAAAATTTGAAATCAATTGAAACACAAGTGAAATCCATCTGAAACATAAAAAAAAAAAACATATGCCTTCCTCAGGTATGGACTTGAATGATGAAATATCCCAGTGAACAAACAGTACAATGGGAAGTAAATGGGTGGGAGGGCTGTCCGTCCGTTTTTTTACTACGGGCGGACGGCAAGAGGTTAATCTCTGAGCCAGGAATTTAGGAATCACGGATCAGATATCTAAAAAGTAAAATCTAACATGCAGTGTAGATATAAAAATCTCTATAAATATATTATATAATGTCAAAGAAACCATGCCAGCTGCAAGCTCTTGGCAGTTTATGGCAGAAGTGAAGATTAAATTGTATGTGTGGGCAAAATAAAAGAAAAAAACATATATATTTGTGCAATACATGAACAACACAAACTCTGTTGCTGTAAAACCTCAAGCAGTGTTTTTTGTTCTTCCTTGTTGGGCTACAGAGAACCTCCCCCTCTCCTCATTTTGATAATATAAGGGGGAGCTGTTCTATAGTCAAGCAGAGAAGAACTCGGGCATTGCTGACAACACTGCTTGGGATTTTAGTGCAGCAGAAGCAGGGTTGACGGCTCACTACAGGAAGGTGGGGATCATAGCATTTCTGGCAGGATCAACAGGTAATTTCCTGTACAGAATTTTTTTTTCATCTTGCCCAGACATGCACTTTAAGGCTTCTCATACCCATAAAGATATTCACAAAGCAATATGATTATTTTAAATGTAAAATTTTCTATGCTTGAATGCTGCAAACAAATGTCTCCTGTGTAGGGGAATAAAGTCACGGCTGTTTGTAATCGGGATACGGATAGGCAGCCTTAAAACAAAATAATTACAAGACTGCTGCAAAGCAATACATGAAAATTATACCAGCATCATTTATGTTGCATCACATTCCAAGTCCAGTTTCATTCATTTGTCATAATTATCCTGATGTATTTCGTATATGCTACGACCATTACCAGATGCTGATAACACCTGTGTTACAAAGTCCTAGGGAAAGCACTGGAACTGTAGCCTGACCTCAACTTATTCTGTGCTCTGTGCTTTATGTAATCAGCTCTTCCTGGCTCAGAGATTAAGAAAACAGACCTCCCACCCATCCACTTCCCGTTGTGCTGTTTGTTCACTGGGATATCTCATAAAGTCATCATTCAGGTCCAAACCCAAGGATGAAGCCTAGTCACGGCATATATTGTTGCTTTTGTAATCCAAGTTTTCTGCATACAAGATATGTCTCCTAAATGGTGATTTATATGGCTACTATATGTAAGAAATACAAAATAAAAGGATGTAAAGGGAGAGCAATGAATATGTTTTATTAAAAAAAATATTCTACCCTTTCAATTATATTCATGTGTTGTACATCTTTTTCTAAACCTACGGCACTAATTTGATAATTAAGCAGAACTCCAGGCAAAAACAGCCTAATACACAGGTGGAATACGTAGGGAGCTGTTTTTTGTACCAAAAGATTTGTATTTTTGTTCACCCAGTTGAGGTGTACACAGCACTGCCATACAACAGAGCCCTGCCAGGCACAGCAGAAGACCTGTTATAAGTAACATTTACAGTGTCTGTCCTTCCCCCAATGCTGTGACTAGACAGTTAAAGGGCAAGCAAAACACACTGATTAGCTTATCTTTCTGTCACTCTGATCTCTCCTGTCAGCATGCCCCTTGTAAGCACACAAGCAATGCAGCACAACTGACTGGTTATCTATGCTGCTCTTCCATTTCCTGCTCTGAGATCTGCTGTACATAGAATCAAAGAGGCTGGGTCAAATTCAGGTACTTACATTGCTTGCATTAAAATAAATGCATTTAATTTAATGATGTATTAATTAATGCAGAACTTCATTCATTTTTGTCTTTTATATCTACCTGGGGTTCAGATCAACTTAAAACAAAGTTATTGTTCTCTTTAACTGGGCCTGAACGTGATTTCAGTTCTTCATTGTTGCCTTCTCCTTTCTGTTCAGATCTGTCTGGTCAATGATCCTCGGCCACAGAATAAGTTTGGCAAACTTTACACCGTGCAGTTCTTGGGTAATATGCTGGAAGGTCGGAAAACGCTGTATAATAACCAGCCCGTGGAAGTCTTAAAAAAGTTAGCAGCTGCCACTATAAAAGATGGAGAGGTGAGTACCATCCATGTCACTAGAGAAGGCCATACATAGAAAGATATTGCTGCATGGTTGCTACAGTCTCTCACTTGCATTGGTACTGTTTTCTGTCCATCTCTGCTGAGGATTAAAGCGGGAATCCAATGTATTTCCACATAGAAAATATTGAGAAGAGTGTCTAATAAAGTGTGTGCTGAATAGTATTTGTGATTTTGCCTAATTTTCATTGGCAAGATGTAAGAGTTGTAGATTCCAAACTGTCCCACCTGCTGTAGCTGTTAGGAGCAGTTCTGATGCCCGTTCTGAATATGTAATCTATTTTGTGTTCAGAATATGCATCAAGAAGTGCGGAGACTGACCAGTACAGAGGGAAAAGATCTATGGCAAGAACACCTCATGGCTGCAGTCTCTAAAAGATAAAGGAGCCACCAGTACTTATCTAATCAAGCTTCACGTATAACTGAAATATCACTTTTAAGTGAGCTAAATCTTTAAAAGCAAAAATGTTGTATTGAGTAGCACAAACATAACATTTTTACAGTATGTAGGCTATTCCATTGATTTCAGCTGCTTCACACAATAGGTGGAATCGAGCATATACTGGGTGCTTGGCTGCTTCCAGCACCTTTGTGAACTGAACTATGTTAAACTGGCATTCAAAGACCATCACACTCAACGCTTTGTAATATAATATAATTACCATTTGCTTATGAATTTTTGTATTCTCCAATAGGCGGTGTGGTTTGGCTGTGATGTTGGAAAGCATTTTCATGGAAAACTAGGCATCAATGACATTAACATGTAAGTTGTCTCCTTGTTATGTGAATCTGTGTGCTGCTGGGCCCTTTTACATTATTTCCACCACTGTGGTATCTGGCACCAAGCTGTCAGTAGCAGATCCTTCAAGTCCCGTAAGTTGTGAGAGGTGGGGCCTCCATGGATCAGACTTGTTTTTCCAGCACATCTCACAGATGCTCGATTGGATTGAGATCTGAAGAATTTGGAGGCCAAGTCAACACCGCAAGCTCTGTATGTGTTCCTCAAACCATTCTTGAACCATTTTTTCACCGTGGCAGGGCGCATTATCTCACTGAAAGAGACCACTGCCATCAGGGAATACCATTTACATAAAGAAGTGTACTTGGTCAGCAGCAATGTTTAGGTAGGTGGTACATGTCAAAGTAACATTCACATGACCCAAGGTTTCCCAACAGAACATTGCCCAAAGCATCACACTGCCTCCGCCGGCTTGCCTTCTTCGCATCCTGGTGCCATCTCTTCCCCAGGTAAGCAACACACACGCACCCGGCCACATGATGTAAAAAAAAATGTGATTCATCATAACAGGCCATCTTCTTGCATTGCCCTATGGTCCAGTTCTGATGCTCACATTCCCATTGTAGGCACTTTTGTCAGTGGACCATGGTCAGCATGGCCCATATGCAACAAACTGCGATGCACTGTGTGTACAGACACCTTTCTGTTGGTGTCAACATTAACTTTTTGAGCAATTTGAGCTTCAGTAGCTCTTTTATTGGATTGGATTGGACTACACAGGCCAAACTTTACTGCTGCATGCATCAGTGAGCCTTGGTCACCCATGACCCTGTCACCGGTTTTCCTTCCTTGGACCACTTTTGGTAGGTCCTGACCACTGCAGACCGGGAACATCCCTCAAGAGCTCCAGTTTTAGAGTTGCTTTGACCCAGTCTAGCCATCACAATGTGGCCCTTGTCATAGTTGCTCAAATTCTTTCTTTGGCTCATTTTTTTCTGCTTCCAACACCTCAACTTCGGGGACAAAATGTTCACTTGCTGCCTAATATATCCCACCCATTCCCAGGTACAATTTAACAAGATAATTAATGTAATTCACTTCACCTGTCAGTGGTCATAATGTTATGGCTGATGTGTGTGTGTATGTATGTACTGTATATATACTGTATGTATTATGTGTGGATCTACTGGTTTTCCCACTATGGACTGTGGAGCTGAGCTGCACATTCACAACCCACCAGCTATACGTTTTTCAAAGATGCTACAAATCCAGAAAAGTCAAGAATTTTCAATGCTTACTTGCAGTGATTTTTCTTTTCCATCATTTTTTTTTCACTTGCATGTACCTTTTGAATGTTCTAGAAAAATTGATTAGTCGATTTCCTAGTAAGGCCCCTCCCACCTTGCTTGTCATTGGGGAATACTATAGAGTGTCACTTAAGTGATCTGTCTGCTGGGGTTGCTGACTTCACATACAAGATGGCAATACCCAGCAGCGTTATCAGGGCCTTTGGATGTCTACACAAGAGAGGCTTTTACAGGTGAATCACATTCATAAAATATTAAATGTACAATTCATTTCATGGGAAGATTGTTGTTAAAAATGAATGGTCTGGTGACAAGGTCTCTTTAATAAGAACATACTGGAACTGTTGTGTAGATACACCGATACTAGTATTTGGGTGAGTACTTGTATTTGCCCAAATGCTCTGATACCTTCCCCGATACCGGGAACGGCAGTGCCGCGGGGAAACATGGAGCCAGCTTCCCGGCCAATCAGGAAGTCGGACGGTACCTCCTGGCTTACTGATTGGCTGGGAAGCCGGCTTGCCAGTCAAACAGCATGGAGCCGGCTCCCTGGGCAATCAATTAGCCGGGAGGCAGGTAATGACACTGACCTGATTGCCCGGGAAGCCGGCTCAATGCTAGCTGAAGTACCGGTATCGGTGGAAAAAGCGGTATCGGTGCATCCCTAGTGGATAGGATTTATTTTTGGATATGTTACACTTATAGGTCTTATAACTTAGAGGACAAAATTGTAGCTGAATTGTGTAACAAGAAGTGTATGTGCGATGCTTATGTTTTTGGAGACTAATATATGACAAGCTTTTGTTTTTCCTGTAAATTTTGCTTACAGATATTCATTTGATTTATTTTTTTCAGATTCGACCATGAGCTGGTGTTTGGCGTGTCCGTTAAGAACTTGAACAAGGCAGAGAGACTTATTTTCGGAGACTCTCTGATGACACATGCCATGGCCCTGACTGCAGTCACAGAGAAGGTAAAGTAGGCAACAGAATCCTTCTATTGCTATTCTCAGAAATGAATGTTGATCATCCTGTTGTAATGGGACACATTTAGGCTAAATGAGAAATGTTTCTGTTCATTTTGTTAAAGCGTACCTAAATTCAATGACAAAAATATAATATATTGCAGCTTACCATTCCTGAGATGGTAGCTTTATTAGTGTTCTTTTTTCAAGCTATTTATTTTCACCTGGTATTCCTGCAAATTACACATTTCCTGTCCCTGGGCACCTTCACTTACTCCTCTCCTGTATCTATGGAGGGAACCATGGTTGTCACTCAGGCTGACATATAGCATGGCTTCCTCTTTTCATCTCTATGACATAAAGATATGAGTAGTTTACAGAAAGAAGATAACATTGTGCTTTCAGTTCAGATGACAGGAAGTGATGAGGACATGCAGCTCTGATGTCTTGGCGGTTGGTAAGAATTCAAAGTAGGTGGTCAATCGCACTGCTGCCTTAAGTTGGCCATAGACGGCTCAAATTTCAGCAGGAATTGGCTGAAATTTGTGCCATCGGTGGTCCCTGTCAGCCCCACCTGGCTTTCAATCAGTTTTTCAAACTGACTGAAAACTCAAAGGAATTGGGTGGAAAGTTTTTGGCCATACAAGTTGGATATCGGGAAAGCCAGCTGTCTGACTACAATAGAGGGTAAGGGAGATTTCTCCATCCATGCTGTTTAGGGAACTGATCAATTTGAGAGAAGCTATCAATCGATAGCCGACGAATCGACGATCGAAAACGTTGGTAACGTTTTCAATCGTCGATTTTAATCGACTAAATCGATTAACTGTTGCAGCTCTACTAGCATTACAGATTTCTCTATGGACATTGCCAGTGTAGCCCGTGAAAGTTGTACACATCTGAGAGGCTGTGTGGATTTAGAAATATAAACAGTGATTTCAGGATCCTTCAGATCAGAAAAACTTCAAGCAATAGGTTAAGGGCCCGTTCACACCAGATGCAGTGCATTCCAGGCCGATTCTGGCCAGAGTCGCCCCCTCCTGCCCCACAAAAAAGTGAGCCGGCCGCAATGCGAGGCAGTGCGTTCTGGCCAGAATCGGCCCGGAACGCACTGCATCTGGTGTGAGGGCCCTTAACCTATTGCTTGAAATTTTTCTGATCTAAAGGATCCTGAAATCACTGTTTATATTTCTAAATCCACGCAGCCTCAGGCCGTAACGCACTGCATCTGGTGTGAACGGGCCCTTATTATGGAAACACTGCAACTATGATAAAATTACACAGATTATAACTATTGTGTTTGTTTGCCCTCCCTTTTTATTTTGCATGTTTTCCTCAAGGACTCTGGTCTCCTTCCAAAATACAAAAACACACTTATAGGTGCTTACACAGTATGGATGTCAGGAGAAAAAATAGAGGGTCCACAAGTAGACCATGTCCCTTAAGACAGAATAAAAAAACATCTTTTATGTTTGACTTGAATGCACCCTTAGCCCTCATTTATACCTAACAAGTTGGTGTTATTTGGAATTCCTGCGGCAAGAACTGCGGCGATTTTCCTTCAGCAGGAATTCCAAATCCTCCATTTACCAGCGGCAGCTGTCACCAGATTAAGTTACTATCGGGTGGCAGTGGCTGCATTTGACAGTGGCAGAACGCTGACACACTGCTTGTAAATGTATATGATACAATTACACGCTGTAGGGAATCAGTCACTATCCCTGGGCGCATGGTCGATGCACAGAAGCTATTGGGCAGGGCCAAGCTTAGGCAGAAGAGGCACCAGTCTCAGTTGTCATGATGAGTGGGGGTGAGGGGGGGGTGGATGCCATAGCAGGAAAGAAGCCTCTCCTGTGCTGCCACCACATGGTCCAATTGTATCCTGCACAGCTCAGTCCCGCAGATTACACAGGGAAAACCTGGCTTTTCCTATGTAATCGGTGTAACAGCTGGCATTGTGCCAGCCACCCTCTGTATCAGGAGTTCTGATGCTGCACTTGATAAACAGAGTAGCTGTCAAAATGAGCTCTGAAGATTATACAGGGGAAGATGAATGTAATATTCAGGGCTGAGCTGTTACTTTGACAGAATCCTCTATGACAGTCAAGATGTCTCACACACTCCCCCTCACAGACACTGCAGCTCACCGAGGAATGTTTCAGCAACAGAGGCAGTGCTGTCAATCCAGAAAGCAGTGGGCAGGACTAGACGTGCCAGGTGCTGATTGCAAGCTACAGGCTTGTCAATCACTAGTGACAATGCTGATAGCCACGCTCCCTGCAATATTTTATCATCCTACTGTAGTGCAAACCGGAACAATGGTTAATTATTTGGTGCTTTGAGATGATTCATTTATTACTGTAGTTGATAAGTGTCATCCACAGATCTATTTGCAGCCCGTTGTTTTCATGCGTGACCTCCACATAGGAGTTTTATACTTTTGTTTACCTTGGACATTTAGCGCCTTACCCTTAATATCCCGGGGCAAGTTGTAACATAATATTTATTAAAATGACATGTTTAGAAGTTGTAGCCTTTCTTAGGTGAGATACTAGTAACTTGTATACCACTATTTATATAGTAACTATATGATGAGGCATGGTGAGGGTGTGAGAGTCGATACTGGTGAAGGGGCTGTGTGTGTTTTGTAATTTGACAACATTGTCAATTCTTGTCAACCCCAAATGTGGTTTGGGTGTGGTGTTGTGTTGGAGTGTGAATTCTAATTACTAGTTTCTTGGTCCTTTAAGGTAACCACTGTTGCTAGGTTTATGTGCAGCATTTCATGTTAAAGGAGAACTATGAGGTGAGTGCTTTTCACTCACCTCATAGTTCTAGCCGACCTGTGACAATGAGACTATCACAGGTCGGCTCAGTAGATCGGGAGGTGAGAGAACACATACCGGCGTTCGCTCACCTCTCGATCCTGTCACGGCTCTTTGCCGTGACGGGAGGGGCTGGATTCCCCCCTCTTTTATTTGATAGTTTGCAAACAGGAACAGCCTACATGAGTTGCAACTGTGCTCTGCATTCAGGAGCATTGCAGCATCATTACTACCACCTCACAGGAAGCTGCATTAGCTGGGCTTCACTGGTAGAGTCAATGAGTGTTTGTGGGACTTTGCATGTTTATAGCCGGCAGATCACTTGTATGGGGTGCCGATCGGTGCACCAAAACCCCCCCCCCTCCCGCTGGTACCGAGCTCTGCTGTGCCCGGTGCGAGCCTGGGACCAGCATGGTGGCTCTCTGACAGGGATCAGAGGGTGATTGGTACAAGACCTCCCTCCGGTCCCCTCTCCGCTGGCAGAATGCGGAAGTGATGTATATTACATCACTTCTGCATTCTTGTGTCACTCTCCAGCTTCAGAAGCTGATGAAGCAGATCTCTGCTTCATCAGCTTCTTTGGGGGTCCCTAGGTGACATTAGGGGTCTTGGAGACCCCTGATGTCTCCATAAAGAAGACCTGTCACATCTCTTTGCTATCACATAGGGGGGGTTTCTTAGCCTCCTATGTGATAACAATAAAGTAAAGCGAAAAGGAAAAAAAATTAAAGTTACAAAAAAAATTTAAGTCACACATGAAAAAGAATTTAGAAAACACAAAAAACTTTTTAAAGTCCCCGCCCATAAATACACACGTGAAAACATGCGTCAGGTGCGCATACGCGTGAAAACGACGATTGCGCCCATTATGCCGCACATGTTACATATTGCTGCGAACGTCGCAGTGAGAACAATAATTCTAGGGCCATCAATCACTGATAACACTAAACTGTGGTAAAAGCTTTTAAAGCGTTGCCTACGGTCAATTTTGGGTATGGTAGTTTTTTGCGATTTCGCGGGTGCGTGCAATTTTAAAGCTTGACATCTTTGGTGTCTATTTACCCGAGGTGACCCCGTCATTTATATTGTGCCAAAAAATTGGGTAATAATAAATGTATTATAACATGTTAAAAAAAAAATAAAAAATTTCAGTAATTTTTCCTTAATATAGTAAAAAATAAAACCCCCCAGTGGTGATTAAATACCACCAAAATAATGCTCTACCTGTCCCCAAAAAATGGTGCATGACGGAATAAACGTCAGTCAAAGTACTGCAGCGCTGAATACTGAAAAATGGCCTGGACAGGAAGGGGGTGTAAACACCTAGTCTTCAAGTGGTTAAAGATAACTTTGTTTAACGCTATGCACAACTGTGCATTGCATTCAGTAAAAATGCAAACATGCTGCATTTTTTTTAAATCAATTACCTCTGTTTATGTATCTAGAAAATAGTTTATTGCTGTGCAGTGAGTGCAACCTTAAGTTATGTAGGTATTCTTTTACTTTCCACTATTGTGGTTGCTGTCATCTTTAGCTGTTCTTGAGACAGTACCCTCAGTTCACCCCCCTCCCCTCAAATAGATTTGTCTGGCATGTAGAAGCCTCTTGACTGCTTATTGTGAAGGAAAAGCAAATCAGACCTATCATGGTATTACAACATACTGAACTAATGGGAGCAGTACACGGCCAGGACCCTGGGAGTAAATTCACCAAATATTCATACACTGACCCCCTGCTTACATTTTCTTCCCCTGATAGTTACATAATGTTCTGTATTTCCTTCTTCTGGTTATTATTTGGATTATCTAGCAAAAAAATGCGGAGTGGGGGTGTTGTGGGAGAAAGGCAAACTTAGCTGGGAATTTGTGTTGTCCGATTAGGGGCGGTAAGGGATTGAGTGATTTTAAAACCGCAGCTGCATTTGAGCAATAGTAAAGACTTTTGAATGCTGTTGGCATGGAATTAACTTGTGGCTCTACCTCATTAACTCCGGAACCCAAACTAATAGCTTAAAAGGGAGAGGATTATCATCTGCTCCTGTCTGAAGTGGGCAAATGCTTACTTGTCCTTAGCAAAACTAGAACTGTCGCAAAGTCTGTACTGTGTCTCTATAGGTCACAACCGTGGGCTCAGGCAGCCTGATTTGTGACAGGTTTAGACTGCCAACTGTCATAAGCATATCTGACCAGCCCAGGCATACAGTACCTGTGGCAAACTTCCATATTGCATAGGGGACGTTAGTATTGGCAGCATGCAGACTGTACACATGCAGGGGGACCATCATGTAACTGCAACATGCATCTATGCCTTAAGATATATACTCCTGTAATGCAACCTAATCGGCCTGGTAATCAATGGATTGTAGACATCCCAAGGATAAGTGTTCCTTATCCTTAAAGTTAAAGTGGCTCTTCACGCAAAAGTGAAGGCAGCAAAATTGATGACAAACGCCATATTTAACAGTTGTCCTTGAGATCTTCCAATGTCTCTGTTGAGGTGACAACTTTCACTAGGACAGGAAGCGAGCATGCCTAAAAGGAACACAGGCAGCAATTTAAACCTGGTCGTGGTTCTTATTCTTCACTGAAAAAAAGTTAGGCTGGAATTACACTTTAAATGGTATGTTGTGCAAGGAGCTATAAAATGATGATCTCTGTACTGCATACCTTGAGTAAACAATTACAAAGCATGGGTTCAGTGATAAAAACACAGTGGAGTGCAGCTGCAGAAAGCAGATATTTCCTTAAGATCCAGTAAGTTCCTAGAGGTGATGGTAAAGATAGAATAAACACAAGTTTACAACGGACACATCACCAAAGTTTTCTCAGGGGAAGAGGTGGGATCAATATGAAGGTTCGAAAAGATGTTCTGATGGCTACTCCCTATTGTAGTCGGATGAGCGGTGCTAGTGGTGTCCTCAGTCCTTCTCCCTTTCCTTTCCATTGTCTTTTCAACATGTACACTTGGCCAAACCATACATGTTCATGCAGCACTTTTCAGAATTCTGCAGAGAATTTAGCCTGAGGGCAGCTGGATGGGTTTCTACATGTCTGAATGCCCCCTAAAAGCACCCTTACTGGGTTTAATGTAATCAAATGAAATCTGAACTAGCAGGACCTGATGATCACTCTTTTATAAGTTGGGAAAAGTAAGGGAAAAGGTAAAATGCTTTGTTTGTAAACTGGCTATATTTGTTTGAGTAGAATAAAGGAGCAAATGAGTTGTATGTTTCAACATCTTACATTAAGGATGTGTTTTATCCAGATTTTATTGGGAGCTACAGAAATAAACTGACAATGGGACCGTGCTAAAGAAAAATGAATCCTACAGTACTGAGGAATAAAATTTGAATATGTATTTCCTTACAGTTTACCATTCAATGTCCGTAACCCAGAACTGATATTTCCTCTTTGCTTGGATGTAGACATGGAAAGGGGAGGGTGGTGTCAAATTGTTCACATGGAGAGTGCTTTCTCTTCAGATGTGTGAGGTAGGACATACTGGATGGGGAGCATATTATGTGAGATAGGACATACTGGATGGGGAGCATATTATGTGATCTGGGGGTTATACTTTTTCCTTCTACTAATATTATATATGTCTAAAATTTCAGGAAGGACAAGAAGGGGAGTATGAAAAATGGCGAGTAGAGAACTCGTGGGGTGATGACCGTGGAAATAAAGGTAAGTCAAGACCCGATGTCTAGCAAATACAAGGAAACTGTGGCCTCTCCTAAAATAATAGCTTTTATAAATTCATAATTTATAAAGTCCCTTTATGGGTTGGACTTGATGGACTTATGTCTTTATTCCACCCCAAATACTATGTAACTATGTAACTATAATGCAAGTGGGGCTGCCTGGTGGTTGGAGCTAAACATTTGCAACATTTGTCTTTCTTGTTACTTGTCATTTCTATGTGCAGCTTTAATGCACTGTAAGGCAACAAAATCTATTGTTCTGCCGATGCATGGTCTAAAGGACTATGTGTAGTTATACTTTTAAGATGTTTTTTAGAGGCAAAATCTACTTAAAACAGAAATTTTTTTATGGGTGTACACTAGTGGGCCATTCTTAGGACATTCAGCAGCAAGAGCCTGACATTTCTTTTAGGTGACTTAACAGATGAGAAAAAAGTTTTCTCAAGGTCCTGGTGAAAATAGGAATATCTTGAAGGCTCGTGAAGTGGACCTATCAATGAAGACAAACACAGGGGGTCACAAGCAAATAGAGGATTTTCTTCTTTCCACTTGAAATCCACATTAGGAACAAGCAAACAGTAGTGATGTGCAGTAACTTTTATAACTGCAAATTAGTGAGCATTTTTTATTTATCTCTCAGCTAATCTCCTAAAAGCTAGTTTCTAAATGGGGGAGTAAGCTCCAACATTTTGGGCAGTTATGAGAGCTATTTTACTGTGCATCTATAGCAAAAAACCTCTTTCAGTGTTTTAGATACAGTAAAGAAGGGTTATACCTAAGGATGCACCGAAATTTTCGGCCGCCGAAACATATCGGCCAAAAATGGCACTTTTGCCAAAATGCAGAAAGCATCATCTTTCGGACGAAATTGCGGTGCATTCCTAGCTTCTGTCTTCCCCGCTGTGTGCTGCTTTGTGTCCCCTTTGACACAGCCCTGCGTCCAGCAGGGAGGAGAGAAACGTTCAGGCGGCCAAGCGGGGAGGGGAGAACGCTGCAAGCCGTGATGTCACTGGAGGCTGAGCTCTCCTATCGCACTGCGCCGCTCAGCCTCCTGTGACAGATCAGGTGAGGGGTGGAGACAGCTGTCATAGGAGGCTGAGTCAGCGGTGCGGCGGAGGAGTCAGCTGTCAAAATAGACTGAGCTCTCCTCCCCACACCGCCCGCTCAGCCTCCTGTGACAGCTGCAAAAGTCAGGCTGGAGAACGGGTACAAGCAGTCAGCGATCAGCTGATGCATGAATGCTTGTAAATAATTGGGGACATAGTATGTTTACTGTGTCCCCAGTTATGAATGAACAGGAAGTGCTCTACATCACTTCCTGTTCATTCATGTGGAGATAGTAAACATACTATCTCCACAAGTTATGAATGAACAGGAACACTCAGTATAGAGGATTCATGTTCATTTATGAAGGGGCTGCTGAAAAAGAGATTGAGGACTCTGTGTCCTTAATCTCTTTTTCTATTTTAAAAGGGAAATATTATTATTATTTTACAGGATTTATATAGCGCCAGCAGTTTGCGCAGCGCTTTACAATATAAGGAAGACATTAAAATCACAATACAATTTAAGACAAGATGGTGAGGAGGGCCCTGCCCCTGAGGGCTCACAATCTAAAGGGGAGGGGGAAGTGATACATGAGGAGGTAGCTGTGTGTGGATGAATTCTTTGAGAATGTGATGGTTCAGTGGTTAGGTTGAGTCTTAAGGGATCGCCTAAAGGCAGTCAGTGGGATATAGTCGACACGGTTGGGGTAAAGAGTTCCAGAGGATGGGAGAGACTCTAGTGAAGTCCTGGAGGCGAGCATGGGAGTAGTTAATGAGGGAGCTGGAAAGCAGAAGATCTTTGGAAGAGCGGAGGGGACGGTTAGGGCGATATTTTGAGACAAAGTTTGAGATATTGCCGGGGGCAGAGTTGTGGATGGCTTTGTAAGTCATTGTTAATATTTTGAATTTTATCCTTTGGGCTATTTGAAGCCACTGTATGGATCGGCAGAGGGGGGTTGCAGACACCGAGCGGTTGGTCAGGTGGATGAGTCTAGCAGCTGCATTCATGATAGACTGAAGGGGGGATAGCCTGTGTAGAGGTAGACCAATGAGGAGGGAGTTGCAATAGTCAAGACGAGAGATAACAAGGGAGTGGATGAGTAGTTTTGCGGTTTCATTGGTGGGGAAGGGGCGTATTTTGGAGATGTTACGAAGGTGAAGGCGGCAGGATTTTGATAGTGATTGCACATGGGGAAGAAAAGTGAGGTCCGAGTCAAGGATGACACCTAGCACCTTGGCATGCCGGGAGGGCTGGATAGTTGTGTTATCAATCCCAAGGGGAAAGTTTGGGCAAGGTGCACGGGCAGGAGGAAAAATCAAGAGCTCAGTTTTTGAAAGGTTGAGTTTTAAGAAGTGTTATGACATCCAGACTGATATGTCAGTTAGTAGATTAGTGGCACGCACACAGGACACTACAAGAATTTTTAAAAATTGAGCACAGCAGAAGCTGACTACTTTTACACTTTTGATGACTGAGGGTATGTTCACACCAACTCAACTGTTGGTTTGCGTGTCTTATAATCGATTATGTCGATTAGTTGTTGCAGCCCTACCCTGGTCACTGTTTAGACCCCTGATCCCAGAGCCCCGTTTCGGCCTGACAATTTTTTTTATTTTCGGTTTTAAATTTTCATTTTGGTGCACCTCTAGTTTTAACCCTATCAGTTTTTTTGTCTGTCCTTCTAAGGAGGTTTCCCTTTACATTCTGTCCTGGAGATGCAACAAGACATGTGGAGAAATCTCCCCAAAGTGAGGGGAATTACCATCTTGGTTATCAATGGAACCGTTGTCCCAGTTGGATGATTTACCATCACTTTTGCTCTGGTAAACATTCAAAAAATGTGGATTTAACGTCACTGTGGTGGTGGTCATCCGTACAAAAGCAGGGGTGGAAGTCCCCAGAGAGGACACAGACGACAGTAAAACTTGACAGAGGGTCTTACCCCTCACAAATGCAAAATGAAAATACAAGGTTTTGCACTTGCATCCACTTGCATAGACTTTAGATACCCTAAAAAAACCTAAACATTTGCAAGTAAAAGCACAGCATAGCTTTTCTATTTGGCATACATGAATGTTTCACTTGCAGTGTGCCTTTAAACTTGCTAGCAAATTTTACTTCTTCTGAAATAATCAATTCCCTAGCACAGCCCCTCCTCCTTGCAGGTCATAGCCATCTCCTCTTCTTTGAGTGTCTCTGTTCTTGTGTACCTCCTCTGCCCCTGTCTACCTAGCCTTTTATGTTGCTGCCAGTGGAGGAGGCCAAGACAAATCTAATATCAGGAGAATACCACATTATGGCCACTAAGTGGAGCTGAAGAGCATAAGAAATAAGTATTTACAAACTAATAGCGTTCATGTTTGCCTCCATTCACACAGTGCAAACGTACATGAAGTTTCGCAGGAGAAATGGCCCTGCAAATATTTAATAAATATACCCCTTAGCGTGTTACCAATCAGCACAGACCTTCTGTATTTAGGAAACATTTTCTGTCAGAGCAGTAAATGAGGTTGATTTACTAAAAGAGTTGACACTCACTCAATAAATTGTAGCCGTGTTCACTTTGAACACCGAGTCATGTGCTGATGAAATAAACAGGAATTTGCTGTTCACTCAATTGGATAATTGAAGTGATCTCAATTTATTGAGAAAAGATTCTCAACTCCTTTAGCCTCACTGTTTACCGATCCAATTTAGTAGATAAAAGGTCATTTATAAGTGGAAATTAACTTGACTCTGACTAAGCTGACATTTTCAACAACTGGCGTCTAAAAATCAATTAGCCAATGTTTTATCACTCGCCCATATTTCTTTTTTTTCTTTGAGTCTAAGCACAACACACAGTTATTTTTGCGGTAAATCATTTAAACTGTTCTTAAAGGAGAACTATGGGGTTAAGGCTTTTTCCCATAGTTCTCCTTAGGGTAACGGGAGGACACAAACTAGCGTCCTCCCGTCACCCTAGGCTCAGTATACCGCGAGCTGTAGCTCGCGGTATACTGAGACGCCGCAGTATACCGCGAGCTGCTTCTCGCGGTATACTGAGACGCCGCAGCTGAAGCCTATCCCGACAATTGTGCCGGGATCCGCCCAGCTGCGTGACTGACAGCTGGTTCTGCCTATCTAGAGGCAGAGCCAGCTGTACCCGCCCCCTCCCCTGTCCGTTCCGCCAGTCAGCACTGGCGGATCGGAGGGGGGAGTCCAGCCCTACCCCTGTCACGGCAGAGAGCCATGACAGGATCGAGAGGTGAGCGAACTCCGGTATGTGTTCGCTCACCTCCCGATCTACTGAGCCGACCTGTGACAGTCTCATTGTCACAGGTCGGCTAGAACTTTGAGGTGAGTGAAAAGCACTCACCTCATAGTTCTCCTTTAAACTTGTCTTCATATTTTAATCCACGCGCCTGTGTAAAAGTATATACCTATGTAACTTGATGGCTTTGACATTTTGGATCCTCAGACACTTTGACGTGGACCTTTCCAAAGCAAAGATGCTCTGTGCGTTTAGCTGTGTAATGAATAGGAAATCATGGCTGGATTGTTTATAAGTGGGGGACGAGGGTAAACTGAAACTGTAGGTGCATTAAATCTGTATAAGCTCCATTATGTTTAATCAATTCTAATACCTGAAATCCCTTTGATCTCCAACTGCCTTATTAATTAGCAGAGCTTCCAGGGTTGTAACGCAGACTGTCTGGAATGGGCCTCTGAAAAGCGCCACAGAGATTAGAGCAGGAGATTCCATAGCTGATTATTGGATACTCCTATTTACAGCAGAAATGTTCTTTGTACATGTGCCAGAACATGCTGGGTATGCATGGGGATTGGGGGATGTGCTATGATTGCAGCTATAAAGATCATTTGTAGTGTTACAGGAATCTAATCCCTATTCTACCCTTGGGTTAAGTGAATGTTCCCTGGGCATATCAAAGCCTCGTAGCTTAAAATACAATGTAATTTATTTAATGCTGTGCTTTTTCTTCATCAGGTGGCCGGCTAGATATATTCTCCTTTCCTAATGTTTGTTAAAGATACTATCCAGTCGGAACTAAAAAAATTAAAGTGAACCTGTTCACAAAATCTAATTGTGTATAAATGACTGGATACAGGGCACTTGGATGTTCTTGCATGTGCCTTCGATTCTTTAGCAAGGTGCTTCTGTTCAGCTCTGCGTACCTTGAACCCAGGAAAGCCCTATGTGGAAAATCCTAATTTACAGGCCTTATCTAGACCTATTTACCCTCTTGTTGGGTTACTCTGTGATAACCCCAGGGCCAAATCTGCCACTGACTTTTTACTTCTCTTCTGCTGATTCAGTACACTCTTGAGCTCGCGATATAAGAATCAACCCAGACACAAAGGTGTGTGGTATAAGTGCCGTACCAATGGTTTATTTTACGCATTAGTGAATTATATCAAGTAAACATGGGGCGGTGATCCAGCATTAACCAATCACAGACAAACACTGATGCATACCAAAACGAAACTTTAGCCACATAACAATGTTCATTCATTTCTTTTAAAATCTTTTGTTTTCCAGTAACTTGAAACTTTCAAAGTTGTTACAGCTTAAACAAGTACTCTAACTTGAGACAATGAAACTACTGTTAATATTAAACTCCCTTTATTCCTTCACTGCCATCCAACTTCCCACATTGCACAGTGTTTTTTCCCCCCTTCTATGTAGGTACTCCCATAACTTCCACTCCCAGGGCACGCAGAATGAACATGAAATGCAAGCACTTGGGGGCACCTGGTATCCAACCATTTATAGGTGTTTGAAGTTAGTACTAGTTCCCTTTAAATTACATTTCATCTGGGAACACACTCTACCTTTCAGGGTTCCTTAGCTAGGCCTAGTAGTGGTGAACATGAGCATAAACCACCTTACCAGCCACAAAGACCTCCACAGACAATGGGAGAGCTGTCTTGCGTCCCACATGTTGTGCATCAGATGAGGATATATGACATGGCACAGGTCATGTGAAGCAGTAAGGTAGAATTAGTACGATTTTTTTTTTTTCCTTATCATACCGTATCACATGTTGGGGACTTCTAGGAGTAACATATATATTACTTTTGTTTTGTGTAGTACCTATAGCTTTTAGGTTGACATTTTTTTACTGTCATTAAAAAATGCTTCTGACAGTAATTAGGGCAGCTTTGGTCTGGTTAACCATATTACGATAAGAATAGAAAAGGGAGTCAGATTCCTATTAGATTGGGCCAGAGAGAATCAAGCATTTCAAGAAACCCTTCGTCTGGAGGTATATAGCTATCAATCCGCAGAAGCATAGTTTGGTTAGGAAGGCCATAACCTATTGGCAACATGAATAAAGAAGCAATAAAAAGCACAATAAAGGAAATCCCAGCCTATACACAGCAGTGATACCATCTGACTATAAAATACATTAACAATAGCTGTGCCAAACAAGGTCACGGTCGTAAATGCTTGATTTTTCCTTTCTAATATTTTACACAAGTGATTCGAAAACTTGGTGTGTTACCTGCCCTTCTCCAGCTGTAGGAAACCATTTCACAACTCACAGCCTATTCCTTTTCATCGAAAGAGTAAATATATTGTATGTGTATAACCCGACATAGTCCTGGCAGAGATAGAATGGTCTTTAGTGAAATGGAAGTGAAAATTGGAAGCAGGATGTCACATGGTGACCTGCTATGACAAATGTGACGACCAAGCGTGAGTGAAATATGAGTGATAGAGGGAAAGAACTGCATTTCTTCACTAGCCAGTGTTCTGGAAATAATGTTTGCTGCCATTGTTGACTTTTCCCTGCAATTGATTGCTGTAAATTGCAGTATTTTTCAGGGACATGGGACCAGGTTTCCCATGTAGAATGGTGATGACCTAACCTGTAAGGGCTTGTTCACACCAAGTGCGGAACAGATGTAGAGCAGAGCAGTTTAAAAACGGATCAAAAATGCATCCAATGTATTCCAATAGTATTTTTGGGCTCTAGTTCACACCACAGCATTCAGTTGCAGAGCATGTGGAAAAACTTCAGCAGGCACTATTTTTTCTGCTCTGGAACGCACCAAAACACATGCGAATGCTCTGGACTACACCTAAAAGCTAAAAAAAAGGGACCGGAATGCATCAAAACGCACTGCACTGCATATGCAGAAACCCATCTAGCTCTGGTCTGCATTTGGTGTGAACAAGCCCTAAAACTCCTTTGATTGTCCATACACAGGCAGATTTCTAATTAAAGCTCATCATACATGTTACAATCGGCTTTGAGTTTCCCCAAATTAAGCACTTACCTTTTGCAGTCAGTCTGTATCCAATCAGGCAGGCCCTTTTCACTAACTATTGTTGCCTGAAACAAGCGGGATTGTATAGACAAATTATAATGTGTCTGGTGATCTTACAAGAGCAGCAGTATTAGCGGTCTGAACACTGCAGCTTGTTGGCTTTTATCTTCTACTTGGCTACGTGGTGCATGCATGGTGACAGGTTTGATACTTTTTCTCATAGACTAAACAATCAGAGTTCTCCGACATAATGGAAAAACTGAGTCCAACAACAAGTACTTCTGATCAATTAAAGGAGAACTATGGGGTCAGGGCTTTTCCTCATAGTTCTCCTAAGGGTCACGGGAGGACGCAAACTAGCATTCACTCCAGCTTTGCAATAATGCCAGTAGCAGATTGTAAATTGTTTTGTTTTGGTTTTGTTTTTTTTTAAGAAAAACATATAATGAAAATTCTACATATCCCGCTTTCCTGAATTAAGGTGCATGTTTGCCATTATATTTTTTATTTTAGCAATGTCTTACATATATATTTTGCAGCACTTTTACAGAAGCATTTAAGCATAGACTAGCAGTTTCATTCACAAGCCCACGTTTGGAGAACTATGAATGAAGAACTGCAAATTCCAATTCATCTGAGGAGCATGTGGGGACTTGTAGTTCCTTTAGCTACTTAATAGATGCAGAGCTTTCAGCTCCGGAACATGCATCTTCAAAAATGCAAGCAGTAATAGCTCCATATTAGTATCCTGCTTATAACCCAACATAATATTTGTAACACAAATGGAACCGATTAGGAATTCGGGTGGGGCTTGAAAAATAAATGGTGTAGGGCAAGAAAGCAGCACAGCACAATGGCCGGCACTCTGCCTATCTGCTCTGCCTATCTGCTCTGCCTATCCTTGTGAATTAGCTGAAGGAACTGCTCTTGTTTTCCTTCACTGTAATCACAACATTGTGTCCTTCTGCTGCTTTCAGGCCTATAACCAAATTCCGTTTCCAACTATATAAGATTGCAGTGTTTCAGAAACACATTCTCAGCCAATTCAACACAATTAAAGTGGAACTACAACCTCCTATCTCTTACAGCCAAGGAGGGTGCCACCTCGGCCACTTTTTGGATTGCAATTACCATGGGTGCTGCACATGAGATTAGCTGTGATAGTAGTTATTTGAGGACTGAAAGTCTGGTTGAGAGCTGAAATAAGAAAAGTCCATGACAGTCGGCATGCCTAAAAAGTAACTATTTTGGGAGACATTAAATTGGTGGGTAAAGTTCCTTTTTAAAGTGATGTTAAAGTCAAAAGTATGTTATGCTTTTTCAAAGTGTGTGGGCTAAAATGTAAAGCAATGCCTTGCTGGACAATATATATTTGTTTGATCTGGATTCATTATTGAAATGATTGTTCTCTTGCTCGGCTGCTTTTTGCTCTTATCTTTGTGTTTTAAAATAGTTTACATCACCAAGGTATGTACACATGACATTGCACATGGAACATACTATTTGTTTGAAGCGAGAAAATGTTCTGGTAAGCGTCAAACTTTAGAAAAATGTGAAATTAATAGTTGCAGTCTAAAATTTAAAAAAATACACAGACCGAGCTGAGAAACCTTTGATTGTAAAAATAAATATAAAAGAATTGGCTCCAGCATCCCAGTAATTACACCAGCATTGGATTGGCTACACAGATAATAAGAGGAAGCCTGAGGACATCAATTCCCCAAGATGTCCAGTGTAGTCAACTTGTCACTAGAAGAGCTGGGGGATCCCAGCTAGACTTAAGGTCTGCTTTAAGACCAATGCCTTTTACAATTATGAGTATTTAAGAGGGCACTCGATTTTAGAGATATCAATTTTTGTGAAGGAAAACATGCTTCTTATGAAAAGCTAAATGTCAAGTTAATGTGCATATTTCTTTTTTTAATGTCTATTTAGAGTCATTCATACATTAAGGATATCTTCAGCTACAGGGATTTAGTAACTAAGTTGGTTAGGTTTAGATAGTAAATGTTATGACCTTCCTAAGCTAACAGGAAGCCGATGTTCCCTTGAGTCAGTCTAAATGCAAACTATCATTTTTGATAGGAGTGTACTTTTAACAATACCAGAGCTGTCCTTTAATTATTTTTTTATTTATATGTCTACCCAGGCTATCTAATCATGACCGATGAGTGGTTCTCAGAATACGTCTACGAGGTGGTTGTGGATAAGAAGCATGTACCTGAGGAGGTCCTGGAGGTGTTAAAGCAGGACCCCTTGGTTCTACCAGCCTGGGATCCAATGGGCGCCTTGGCTTAGTTAAGAAGTGACTGCATTTCCCTTCTGCTCTCTCCTTGTCATCATCAAGACTAGAATTTCCCTTCTCCAACTTCAGTGTAGCACTGGAACAATAGATTCAACCAAACACTGCATGTTTTCTCATGAAATAGAAGCGGGATAGACTTTGATCCCCAGCAGTCTGCTGTACCTCAAACCCAGCACTCAGGAAGTGTCTCTTCATCCAGATCATCTCACCTTCTGAAAGAGCTCTTTAATTCAATCCTCTCTTTTGTATAAAATAATAGATTATATTGTTACAGACCTGTACCCATGGTATTGATAAGAATCCATCTCTACTTAACATGGACCAGGAGAGGTGAATGTAGTATATAAACTACAAACACATACAGTATGTGCTCTCATTCTGTAGATTTGTGCCCTGAATGTCTTTTCCTGAACCTTATCCAGGACTCGCTGGCTGCATTTACATTTCACTGAGTGTCTGTGATTTTTACATTGAGTTTTGACACCGGGTGTTCATAGGAAGGATCATGGAAAGAAGTGTTCTGGCAGTTGCTTGGGCTGGACTTGGGGAAGGGTAAAACATCAGTCAGGTTTTTACTACCATCCCCTATATGGGAGATTTCTCCTCACTTCCTGTCAGGACACAAGAAGGAGACATTTCTCTGACACAGATGAAAGCAAAAAACACATTTTACTAGACTGTGGAAGGTTGGAACATCAGATAGTGTTTTTGCTGTCTGTTCATTCCTGTCTTGAATTGACAATTGCATCACCCATTTTTTGTATTGGTATCACAGGGACAGGAAGTAAATATCTCCTCAGTGGGGTCACAGACCGTAATAAAAACCTGTTAACTTTCTCCCACTCTTTTAGAAAAACATTTTTTGCTAGAATTGGGCTTTAAAGTGCTCAAGTATATAAAGATAGTGGTTCCTTCATAGTAGGCTCCATCATCTGTTTTAAATGCACCCCCTTTTTTCCAAAGACACGCAGACTAAGCAGCGCTGTAACTGATAAGCAAATTTTGGCTTTTTCACAAAAGTTGGTAGCTTTCTCCAATCTTCAACTACTCCTTGCTGCTGCTGAATGCCTTCTGCCCTGAGAGCACCATGTCACAGGATGGACAAAGGTGACGTGGGCTATAAAGGGCATTCCGTGACCCCTATATACTCGCCTTACATGCACTACCTCACAGCTCCTTGCTCTTTCCCAGCACTGAAATAGTCTGTGTTTGTGACGTATTGATGTCATCCATGCTCACATGACAGAACTTGGGCCTAGCGATCGGTGGCTAGGTCTGGGCACAGGGGTCACAAACTTTCCCATGCCCGATAGTGGCAGGTATTCCTACCGGCTGGAGAGGAGCAAGGGGCTGAATGAGTGCAGATACGTGCGTATCTGGGATTTGGAGGCTATCCTTAGCAGCAACACTGTCACTTTGCTCTTCATGGGCAAGGTAAAAGTACCTTTTTAAATGATAAAGATGATGGTTAATACTCACCTCGGCAGCTGACTGCACTGTCGATCTCTTCTGTATTAAAGAGAAACTGAAGAATCTTTAGAATCCAGTACATCTGGGATTGTTGGATTCCCAGTCCCCTGGCACGCTCTGTGTTTCCTCCCGCCGGCCCCTAGTATACTCCTGGCAGTTTCTTGTCAGCAGAGATCGGTGGCGAGAACGGGGGAGTATTACCTATCTTCTTTGCAGGGGGCATATTTTTGAGCAATTTTCTATTAGCAACAGAGTTGCTTTTGTGCAACTAGAGCACAAGTTTCATTTATATACTTCACTCACCTCCCGTGATCTATTGTTAATATATTCGCTTTATTTTTAGCTTTTCCTTTCAGGACAGTCCTAAAACCCATACTGTACTAATCCTGCTGTTATTTTTGGCTGTACCTCCCTAGTCTCTCACACTCCCTGGTCTTTCAGATGATGACTTATGGTACTATATGAATTAGTGTTTCCCAGTCTGTGTCCCCTCACATATTTAAATGTCAGGGCACTGCATCTGATGGATGTTGCACATGGGAAATACGGTGCCATTGATGAGATTACTCAGTATGTTTTGTGGTGTAATATAATCCCTGTGGGGGGTCTGCAATGACTTGTACAGTAGTATTCAACCATTTTCCCCTAATAGGTCATTGTAATGCTACAGTGAGATATATGTGTATGTGTGACAGAGCCAATGAAGCCATGTTTTCCTTTTGGGATGCTTTGCCCCTAACCGTCACCCTAGCAAATTCATATACATTTGGAATTGTGCTTTTTTATTTAATGTGCTTTACATTTATTACAAGGTTGTACCAGAATATGTTTAGGATGTGCTGCACACTTGTGTAGAGGAAAATCTTGGCTGACCATCATTTGGCAAGCAAGTATCATCACGGCACAACATTATTCGACTTTGTTTTTATTGGATTTTATTTCCTAGTGTTTGGCCAACAGGATTTTGCTGTGTAAATGGTAATATCTATTTGTCCTCAAAGCACAATTGTATATAAACGACTTCACTGTAAAGTTGTGGGGTATGTGGGGGGTTCACATGATTGATATCTGTTGACTGGGTGCTACTGTACACATCACAGGTAATTAAACACATCCTTTACCTGCATTTCCACTCTCATTGCAGCACTGTTCACCACGTGATGAAAGTCCTCCAAAATCTATACAATTGCTTTTTGCAGCGAGGGAGAATGTCCAAATTGATCTCACAAGATTCCGTCACCAAAACTTCTGGTTATGTCATCAGTGTCTGTAAAAAACAAAAGTGAGCTATACCAAACAGCTTTTACGTATTGTCCCAGTTTATTTTATTAGGATGGATGGAGTTTATGCAACAGTGAGTGATGAGTTCATGCAGGTACACAGGAGCTCCTAAGCATCTGTGGCTTATTTTTTATGATTTTACTCTTGTTTATTATTTTTATCATTTTCTCTGATTTTAGATGGTGCTTTGGAATTTTTAATAAAAAATGCAATTCATACCATTCAATATCCATGTGTTTGTTTCATTTGTTTTTTCTTATGTTGTTTTGTCTGGTCACACAGGAACTTTGCAATGTCCGTCTACCATCTGCCCTGACAGGGGTGTGGAATTCCTATCGCCCGACGCCCGGAACAAGCAGTTTCGGGCGTCGGGCGAGTAATTTTATTTCTACATTTAGCCCGGCTGCGGGCAAGCAGCACGGCTACATGTAGTATGGGAGCCGTTTCGTACAAGTGATTTTGAACGGCTGTACAGCCGTCCAAAATCACTTGTAACGAGCCTGAATCTCGCTCACCTTCCCCTCTCCTCCTCCCCCGTCTCCTCTCTCTGTCTCCGGTGGCCGGCCAGCAGGCCGGCCATGTGCCTCTGCTGGCTGCACGCTGGCTTCTTTTCTGCCATGGTCTTCGGGGTCCCCCCCTCTTGTGGGGGACACGGGACCAGGCAAATTAGATTAGGTTACAGCACAGAGCAAAGATCGCTTCTTTGCTCCATGTGTGCAGGGATACAGGATTGCAGCCTTCCTGTCACAGGAGAACAAGCACAGCGCTGTGCTAGAACTCCTGTGTTGGAGGTGACAGGGTCAATAAAGAGAACCTGTCACCTCCAAATGCTTTCACACAGGGGCTTGTTAGCCCTTGTGTAATAGCAATAAAGTCAAGTGGGAAAAAAAAGTGAAAAAATAAATGGCAATGATGTAAATACAGAAAAATTGAAAAAATAAAAAAGGCGATAAAGTAATAACCAATATTACAAAGTAAAAAAAAAAAAGTAAAAGAAAAACCCTGCTGCACCCACCATCTGCATGCATGGGGTATTGTGTGTGAGTGGAGTGGGCGATCCATTACCCGCGGCTAATCGTACACAAAATCGTGTGGATGGCCTAGCGGTCACAGAATCACACACCACCGCCGATCGCGCTGGCGGTGCCATTATTGTCTAATAGCACCCCAGTCACGCCTGGCACAATCACGGTTGAAAAGTCTGCACCAGCCCCAAGTAATTTGGAAAAATTGAATTACCTGCTCAAATCTGGCCCCCTCCCCCTCCCGCTATACTTACCTTTCAGGGAACGGTCCTTCCCATCCACCAATATGGGTGTACTATCTGTAATTGTGCCATGTATTCTGAATTTCGCTCGCAAATTGCAAGCACTCATTGCAATTCGCGTAGCCAGGGTCTAGACGTGGTACAGGGTCTGTGCTACAGGACCTGTGCGTTGGTGGTCACCTGACGCCACTGACCAATGAGAAGCTTTTCTTAGCACTGCTAAATACGGTTTTGGGTAAAAAAATAAAAATTTTTGTATCAGGACAAGTAGGTTGTCATGAGAGACAAGTAGATTGGGCTCCGCTTTAGTCCTTGGACAAGTAGTTTTTCAAAAATTTCCACACCCCTGCCTGATCATTTTACTAGCTTAAAGGATATCTAAAGCAAAAATCGGATATATTGCAGCTTATCAGATCTTAGATGAGTTGGCTGCATTGATTTTCTTTTTCAGGCTAAGAACATTTATTTGCAAGTACAGAAAATACCTGTAGATCCTGCCAGAAATACAGTGTCCCTGCAATTTCCTGTTTACTGAACTGAAATCTCAATCAATTTTATGATCTTTTGTAGTCCGAATCAGGAGAACAGTCTAGGGCAAGGGTAGGCAACCTTGGCTCTCCAGCTGTGCTGAAACTACAGATCCCCTAAGGCCTTGCAAACCACAGGCATGACTCCCAGAGGCAGAAGCATGATGGAATTTGTAGTTTCAGCACAGCTGGAGAGCCACGGTTGCCTACCCCTGGTCTAGGGTGATGACGTTGCTTTTCCACAGAAGCAGTATGGTGAGTGACCCTAGGGAGAAGGGTGCTATTGTTAGAAAACAAATGCAGCCTGTACATCCATTACATTTTTGTTATTTTAGTTTGGATACACTTTAAAAGTTGAAGCTGAACTTCAACTTCAAACTTCTGTATACCCTGCTGAAATACATATACAGCAGCTGGTTTACCTGCCAAAGTATTTGTATATCTGCCCTTCTAAACCTGAGGTCTACAGTGTTAAATCCCCTAATAACATTTTACATATTAATATCTGCTATTAAATTCCTGTCTGTACAAAAAAAGATGTTTAGTATGAAACCTTCATGTCATCAAAAAGAAAAAAAAAGAATATTCTGCTACTATAGGGAGGGAAACGCACTCCACTGAAGTGGTGAATGAACTTCAAAAGTAGAACTGTAGTCTTTGGTGGGATGCCTGGCGTAGCCAGGGTCTAGACGTGGTACAGGGTCTGTGCTACAGGACCTGTGCGTTGGTGGTCCGTTGGGTTCCATACACTGGAGGTAATATGGGTCTGGTCTGATGTAGGGGGCGTACCATAAACTACCTCTTGGCCTCAGTCATGTGAACACCCCTAAGGTTGTTGCTCTGAACCTTAACATACCATATCACAATTGTTTGCTGGGGTTTGTCTTTCTATTGTCACTTATTTGAGA